GTCTCTCAATTTTTGGAGGACTCAGCCTCCTTTTTATCCCAATTTCCCAGCCACATTTCCCTTCTCTCTCTTTCCCCATTTCTGAGGTACTTGAGAGGTTCAGACTTCCCAATACACCTGATACTGAAGATTTCTCAAAGATTCCCCTCTAATGTATAACCCTCCCTTTTAATTTTTAATTCTTATGGAATTTAGGGGCTTTTCTTCCCCATTGTTTCTTTCATCTCCCAATGTCTAATTTCGTTTATCAGCCAACCTACAGTTGATTTGTAAAAGCAAATCTCTTTATCCATTCATCACTCAGTGGAATCCTCCCCATTGTTTCTTTTCTCTCCCAGTGCTGGTTTTCTCTCCCAGTGCTGGTTTTCTCTCCCAGTGCTGGTTTTCTCTCCCAGCAGCCCCACAGCTGGTTTGGAAACACAAACCCCTCATTCCTCTCACTGGTGAGGTGCTGCTTTTCCTCCACTGTGGTGAGCGGCCCCCAGCGCTGCTGGAAGGGGTCAGTGCCCAGCAGGATGGCAGAGGTGGGTGAGGGGCTGGGGGCGGCACAGCTCCTGCTCTGACCCCCAAAGGCAGCAGCTGCTGCAGGGCAGAGCACTCAGAGCAGCCCCAGCCAAGGAAAAAGCACAAGAAACTGGTGACAGAGTACTGGGAACCAGTGACAGAGCACAGGGAACTGTGACAGAGCACAGGGAACCAGTGACAGACATGGAACCAGTGACAGAGCACAGGGAACCAGTGACAGAGCACATGGGACCAGTGACAGAGCACATGGGACCAGTGACAGAGCACAGGGAACCAGTGACAGAGCTCATGGGACCAGTAAAGCACATGGAACCAGTGACAGAGCACAGGGAATCAGTAAAGTGCAAGAAACCAGTGACAGAGCACAGGGAACCAGTGACAGAGCTCATGGGACCAGTAAAGCACATGGAACCAGTGACAGAGCACAGGGAATCAGTAAAGTGCAAGAAACCAGTGACAGAGCACATGGAACCAGTGACAGAGCACAGGGAACCAGTAAAGTGCAAGAAACCAGTGACAGAGCACAGGGAACCAGTGACAGACATGGAACCAGTGACAGAGCACAGGGAACCAGTGACAGAGCACATGGAACTGTGACAGAGCACAGGGAACCAGTGACAGACATGGAACCAGTGACAGAGCTCAGGGAACCAGTAAAATGCAAGAAACCAGTGACAGAGCTCATGGGACCAGTGACAGAGCACACAGAACCAGTGACAAAAGTAATGGAACCAGTAAAGTTCCAGAAACCAGTGACAGAGCACAGGAAACCAGTGGCAGAGGTCATGGAACCTGTGACAGAGCACACGGAACTGTGACAGAGCACAGGGAACCAGATGGAACCAGTGGTAGAGCACACAGAATCTGTGACAGAGCACATGGAACCAGTGACAGAGCACATGGAACCAGTGACAGAGCCAGGCATACAAATAACCACCCCTCCAAGCTGTTCTGATCACGAGAAAAATCATCTTTTTCCTTCATTGTTCCCCTCATTATCAGTCATTAGAAACACTCGTGATTGACTTGGAGTGGGGGAAAGGCGGAGATTTCCCACCCCATAAAATTTAAACCAATTCAGGAACACATTTCAATGAAAACTTTGGCTACTTCTTTATTGGGTGAAAAATGCAACACCCTATTACGAACTCTTTCCACTCTGGAGTGAAGAACCACTTCAAAATTCTGCTTTTGGAGGGTGCAGTGGCACAAAGGGAGTTTGTGACACCTGATTCTCACTGCTCAGCTGGTCACAGTCATGTAGAGCTCACAGGGCCACCTTCCCCTCCTCAGCCTCTCCTGGCAAAGTGAGCTCTTGTCCACACTCAGCCAAGCCTTTCATCTCGTCCTGTTTGAGTAAAGTCTCCTTCAAACAGATTGGCCCCTGTTTCCTGTCTCCTCACACAGCTGCTCGTGTGCCCCGGAGAGGTAAACAGTGGAAAAGACAAGACTTGTGTACATTAGCCACGTTTCTGGGATGTTTCATGATGAAAACACAAACCTTCCTCTCCAGGCTTCTCTAAAACCTGGGTTTTTCCACATTAGTCTTCACTTTATCAGGAAAAAAAAAAAAAAAATTAAAAAAAAAAAGCAGCAAGACATTCCTGGCAGTTCTGTAGATTTTTACTGCAGAAAATCCAGGCTTTAGCCAGCAAATCAGACTCCCCAGCCTCCCTGTGTTCAGGAGGATCCAGGAGCAGGGAACCACAACATTTCCTTCCTTTTCCCTGGACTTGCTTCTAATATTGGTGAGCAAAGCTGGCCAAGGAGCAGGAAGAGCAAGTCCTCTGCTGGCAGGGTGGGTAAAGCTCAGGTAAAGCTCAGGTAAAGCTCAGTGCCCACTGCAGGGCCAGGAAACAAAAATTCCAAGTTTTGCTCTGAGATTTGAGGACAATTCTCCCCTCACCAGTGCTTGGACAGGAGAGGCTGAGGAAGCTGACTCCAGGTGAGGGCAAAGTGTCTTTTGTTGGGCATTCCTGTGTTCCTGGCATGGTGGAGATGCTGAGGACACATTGATAATTTAAATTCTCCTTTCCAGGAAGGCTTTCTGCCTTCCCTAGCAAACAGCTGCCTTGTAAACCAAGACAATTGATAAAGCCACTTGTGTTTTATAGATAAAAGCAGCAAAGCTGAGTTGTTGTTATATTACAGACAAACCCAACTTTTCTGCAGCAACAGTTTGTTCCTCTCACCCTAAACCTTCCACAAATTGGAATATTCAGCAGCTGAATGGGATCAAAGACTGCAATCCCCATTGTCTCCATCAGCAAGGTGAGCAACCCACCCCTCTGTGTCCCAAATTTCCACAGAGCCACTTCCTGAAGGGCTGAGCCCTCTCTCAAAGCACTCCCCACCACAGAGAGGCACAAATGAGCAGATGGGCACAAAGGGCACAAAGCGCTGCCTGCAGTGCCCAGATCCCCCAGCACAGAGAAAGCAGAGAAAACCTCAGAGCCCCACAGAGAAAAACCCCAGGGCCCCACAGAGAAAAAAAACCCCAGGGCCCCACAGAGAAAAAAAACCTCAGGGCCCCACAGAGGAAAAAAACCTCAGGGCCCCACAGAGGAAAAAAAACCTCAGGGCCCCACAGAGGAAAAAAACCTCAGGGCCCCACAGAGGAGAAAAAACCTCAGGGCCCCACAGAGGAGAAAAAACCTCAGGGCCCCACAAAGGAGAAATCCTCAGGGCCCCACAGAGGAAAAAAACCTCAGGGACCCACAGAGAAAAAAAAACTCAGGGCCCCACAGAGGAGAAAAAACCTCAGGGCCCCACAGAGGAGAAAAAACCTCAGGGCCCCACAGAGGAGAAAAAACCTCAGGGCCCCACAGAGGAGAAAAAACCTCAGGGCCCCACAGAGGAGAAAAAACCTCAGGGCCCCACAGAGGAGAAAAAACCTCAGGGCCCCACAGAGGAGAAAAAACCTCAGGGCCCCACAGAGGGAAAATCCTCAGGGCCCCACAGAGGGAAAAAACCTCAGGGCCCCACAGAGGAGAAAAAACCTCAGGGCCCCACAGAGGAGAAAAAACCTCAGGGCCCCACAGAGGAGAAAAAACCTCAGGGCCCCACAGAGGAGAAAAAACCTCAGGGCCCCACAGAGGAGAAAAAACCTCAGGGCCCCACAGAGGAGAAAAAACCTCAGGGCCCCACAGAGGAGAAAAAACCTCAGGGCCCCACAGAGGAGAAAAAACCTCAGGGCCCCACAGAGGAGAAAAAACCTCAGGGCCCCACAGAGGAGAAAAAACCTCAGGGCCCCACAGAGGAGAAAAAACCTCAGGGCCCCACAGAGGAAAAAAAACCTCAGGGCCCCACAGAGGAAAAAAAACCTCAGGGCCCCACAGAGGAAAAAAAACCTCAGGGCCCCACAGAGGAAAAAAAACCTCAGGGCCCCACAGAGGAAAAAAAACCTCAGGGCCCCACAGAGGAAAAAAAACCTCAGGGCCCCACAGAGGAAAAAAAACCTCAGGGCCCCACAGAGGAAAAAAAACCTCAGGGCCCCACAGAGGAAAAACCTTCCCGATCCCCAGGGCCAACGCCACTTCTCCATTTATCAGCAGCTGCACAAATTGATTGAATTTGATCACCAAACCTCCCTCTCCAGTCCACATCCCACACCTGGGAGCCTTGACCTGGGCTTTGCCTGCCACAATCCCTTGGAGCTGTTCAAGAACCCCATTTCTGCCGTGCCCCTGCCCCAGCTCCTGGCAGGGAGGCAGAGCCCGGCCCACACCTGGGCCAGGCCCCAGCGGGTCCTGGAAGGGGCAGGGTTTGCCCAGGCAGGGCTGGCGCTGTCAGCAGCACGGGGCGAGCAGAGGGAGGCACAGGAGCCCCTCAGACACCTCAGGGCTGCCAACTCTTTTCCCTCCAGCTTTCCTTCACTCTCTTTTCCCTCTTTCCTCTTTTCCCGTTCTCTCCTCCTCAACAAATCAGCCCCTCTCTCTTTTCTCTCTCTCCTTCCCCCCTTCTCTCATCCCTTTCTCCCCCTGCTGCACTCCAGCACATCTGTTTCTAATCTCAGCCACCCCTTGCAAACAATAACTCCTTTTTCTTTTCAACATCTGAACGCTCAGTGCCCAACAATTCCACGCAGTTACACAAATTTGACACTCTGCCTGAAACAAAGACATTTTATTCAACCTTGCTTTGCCCAAGAGCTCCAAGCCCCTCTCTCCTTTATCCCTGGAAAGCGCTGCTCTCTTCAAACAACAAACACACGTTCCCAAATGAGCCTGTTTGACCAGCACTTTTTAAAATTAATTTGGATTAATCAGAGATCTCTGGCTGTCAACCTGCTCATAAAGCAACCAGAAAAGGATCAGAGCTCAAACACCACTGAAATTCACAGTTTTTCCACAAAAGTTTCCTCATTACAAAGCCCTTTTCTCCAACTCGCCAGCGATGAATTTCAGGCACACGGAGCAGACCGGTGGAAGTTTGATTAAATAAAAAGCAAACAACACCAAAAAAAGCCAACCTACCTAAGAAGAGGATTGAAAATGCAGACATTCCGTCTCCCAGCAAGAGGGACTTGTCCTCCTTTTTTCTTCCTCTCTCTCCCAAGGACAGCAGGCAGACCTGCAGAGCATTCACAGGAACGCCTCTGGAATGCACTGAGTGTAATTGCATCCATGTGCCAGAAAAATCACCAACTTCACTCTTTCTTCCCTCCTGCTATTCATCCCCTGCTCCATCTTCCAGCCAGATCCAGCCAGATTTCTCTTTTTTTTGTTTTTTGAGGGCTGCAGATTCAAGGCCCTGGGAGTTTCTGGGGGAGAAGCAGCACGGAGAGGACTTCACATCCACGGCAGCACAGAACAATTTTGCCTGTCTGGAGAGGAGAGAAGCAGGGGGAAAACACTGAGCTCAATGTTCACCACATGGCTGCCTCCCACTAGAGCCCCTCCCTGCCATCAGCTGGGATTAATAGTGAAGACCAGTCATGTGGGTGAGGTAGAGCTTGATTTCCAGCATAGAATACAGATATTTAACAGAGAAACAAGAGGATTTCTCCAGTGGCAAAACAGTTAAGTTTGGAGGCGGCAAGAAAAAAAAAAAGAGAAAAAAAAATCCAGCATGGAAAAAAAAAAATCAGATTTGACACTCAGGGGTTGGAGGGAGAGTCCTGGAAAAAGCTCCTCAGGAGGACAAACACGCTCCCCTGGATGCATTAGCTCTGGGCTCTTTTCTGCACTGGAAATTGGAGATTTCAGGCTTGCTGAACCCTCTCTCTTCCTGCTGCGTGGTTCTCTTTTTGTGTTTTCAGGAGGGAAAGAAATCCCCTAAAAACTGATTTAATTTCTTGTTGTAGCTGAGCTTCACCGATGAGGGCAAAGCTCAATCAAGCAGAAATTGGTGGCTGCGGGGTGTGAGTTTGAACTCCCTCCCAAAGGGCATTTTAAGGCACACAAGAGACATCTTTACACCTCTAAAGCCCAGCTTCAGCTTCACCCTCATGCAAAGGAGCAAATGTTTAAAATTACCTCAGGTACCCCGTAAAGAAACACCCAGCCTGCTCAGCAGAAGGGAGATAAAGCAGATTTACCCACCTCGGTGCCTTGGAGTGCAGAGCAGAAATTCCTCCCCTCAGAACAGTTATGAAAGTGTTTGTAAAGCCTGCAGGAAGGCAGCAAAGCATGGGCAAGGCTGCCAGCCTGTGGTTTGGGACATCACACTCCACTTTTTCAAGCTTTCTTTCCTTTCCCTGTGTTACTCCATCCACACACCATTTCTCTATACTTTCCCTAACAAAAAAAAATCAGGGATAAAATGCTGCTCAGCCTCTCCAGGGATGAAAACAAACCCTGTGCAAAGCCAGGAGCTGCTGGGCTTGGTGATTCCTTTGGTCACCTTCAGTTCAGGATATTTTATTTTTTATGAAATACAGAAATATTTATGAAGCTCTCAACGAGAGGCACAACTCTTGGAAGCTCTGAAGGAATTTGGTGCTGATGACTGAGCTCTGCAGGTATTTATGGGAAGACAACAAAGATCAGAAGCTAGACCTTTGAGTCCTGGAAACAAAATCTCGATAGATCCAGAGAGAGTAAAAGAACAAAAATCATCTTTGTGCACCCAGTTTCATCCAAGTTTTGTTTGCCCCTTCCAGCCTCAGATGGAGACAGGAGCAGCATTTGGCTCCTCCTCTCCAGAGCTGATTTCCTCCCTGTATCACAACATTTTAAACAGCATTTTTATCTAATATAGCCTGATTATCCAACTCTAATCTAGATTGGGTGGATGTCACAGTTCCCACAGAGCAGCTCTGTGCATCCCACATAACCAAATCCCAAGATTCCTCCAGAACTTTTCCCCACACGCTTGACCAAACCTGATTTCCTTAATGATGCACCTAAACCCCCCTTGATTCTCAGAGCAGGACACGAATCAATGGAGAAAAATTCATTTTTCTGCAGGCCAGGCAGCACTGAGCCTGTCTCTGTGCATTAGGGGTGTGACAGAAGATGTCCCTGGCTCTGCTGTGAATTCCCTGATGCATTTAATGGGATCAATTCCTCCCCAGGGAGAGGCAGAGGAGTGCTGGCACCCTGCACTGCCTGCCCACCTCCCCCAAACAAAACTTCATTTGTAAACAAGGTTTAAAGTTTCAAAACTTTATTTTAAAATGAAGTTTTGTTTGCCCCTCTATCAATTTATTCCTTTCACTTTGCCCTTCCTCCTCCAAGGAATCACATCCTTGAGCCCGAGCTGTTCCCCAGTGCTGCAGAGCTGCTCATTCTCTTCTCAGTGGTGTTTTAATGTCCCCACCACCCAAAACTTATCCAAAAGCTGCATTTTCTGCCCAAAACTCCCACTGTTGCTGTTGACTGGTGCTGATTCCTTTTTGTCCCTTCTCCAAGATTCCCTGTGTAAACTTCTCTCACTCGATTTAAATGATCTGAGCAGCTTCTTGATAAAAAAGAACAAAATTCATTCATCACTTTTGAATCTCTTGAGCAAAAACCCATTTTTGTTCCGTTTTTGGGGTGGCAACTGAAATAAAACACCAAGAATACAAGGGGTAAAAACCCCAAACGACACAAACAAACCTCAAAACAGACAACAAAAAATGTTGGGGGAGAAATAGAACCCTTGACACAGATTTCTTTTCACAATCAGCCACTGGAGGAAAGGCTGATTTATATTTTGTGGGAGCCAGAACCTGCTTTGTAAAGCAGTGGTTGCTGAAGGAGCTCTCCTCTCTCATCCAGGCTTCAATAATTGATTATAAAAGCACAATTAGTCATTTGGTATCAGCAGGAAAATATCCCTTCAATGAGGCTCAGCACTCACTATTTCTTTCCCTATTCATTCTGTGTCTTTCTCCATTCCTTCCATTTCCTTCCATGTTTCTTCTATATTCCTTCTATTTCTTTCCATATTCCTTCTATTGTCCTTCTATCTTTTTCCATATTCCTTCTATTTTTTCCATATTCCTTCTATTTCCTTCTCTATTCCTTTTACTTCCTTCTCCATTCCTTCTATTTCCTTCCAGTTTCCTCTTATTTACTTCCATTTTCCTTCTATTTCCTTCCATTTTCCTTTTATTTCATTCCATTTTTTTCTATTTCCTTCTCTTTTCCTTCCATGTTCCTTCTATTTCTTTTAAGATTCCCTGAAATCCCTGAGATTTTTGGGCGCCTAAACTCAGATTCTTGGTATTTAAGGAAGGTACCTGCAAATGGAAGGCCTCAAATCGCCACATTCATATTTTCTGGAAAAATCCCTTTGCCCAGGATTTTTCTCCTGGGAAGCTGAGAAGCCTCAGAGAAAAAGGAAAACAATTTTATCTCATTTGCTTCTCCTGTGTTTTGCTTACGTGGAGTGTGTTTGAAGATTGTTTGTCCAAAATGTGATTATTTTATTGGTTTCTAGTGTGAATTATTTTGACTCTTTGGCCAATCAGTGCCAAGCTGTGTCGGGACTATGGAAAGAGTCACAAGTTTTCATTATTATCTTTTTAACATTCTATAAGTATCCTTTCTGTATTCTTCAGTGTAGTTTAGTATATCTTTAATATAATATAGTCTGTAAGTATCCTTCCTGTATTCTTTAGTATAGTTTAGTATTCTTTAATATAATAGAGTATCATAAAATAATAAATCAACCTTCTGAAAACATGGAGTCAGATTCACCATTCCTTCCTTCACCTGGGGGCAATGTAAATGCAATATTAAATCTGTTAAAAAATGATTGAATCCATTACCAAATCCTGATTTTCAGCCTGGTTTTAATGAGTTTGGGTGTCCATATGCTTGAGAACCTGCTGGAGCTCCTGCGGGGCCTGGCCCCAGCCCCAGGCCCAGAGGAGCTGCTGCACACTCATGCATGGCTGAGCTGCATCACCCCTCACTCTGTGCTGCAGCTGCTCCAGGCCGATGTCCTGCGAGGTTATGTTTAAATAATGCCAGCTAAGATCCCCATTTAACGGGTATTACTAATTTAATGTGAAGTGCCAGGAGTGAGGGCTCCCAGAGCTGCTCCTTCAGCTCCCATCAGGGCTCCAATGTGGCCACTGGGCTGGTGACACTCACTGAAGGACACCTGGGAAGCTTCCTGCTCACTAATAATTATACAAATCAGCATTTTGTTCCCTGAACCTCTCCTGACAGTCCCAAGTGCACCAATCAAAGCCATTTAAACCCAGAGGACACTGGAGAGGAGAGAGGAAATCTTGAATGAGCACAAGGGAGCTGCTCTTAGAGGTTTCCCTGTCAGTGTTGGAGGCATGAATGAAATTCAGCCCTCACAAGAGCTGGAGCAGTGGAATAAAAAGGCAGGGGCACAGCAGGAAAGGTCTCATCTCTTCCCTCATGCTCCCCTGTTCTTCTCTGGGCTCTGAGCAAATTGTTTGGGTATTGGGGCAGCCTGGAAGAGTGGGGTTAATGGGAACAATGGGAATTGTCACTGTCATATTTTCTGGAAAAATCCCTTTGCCAGGATTTCTTCTCCTGGGAAGCTGAGAAGCCTCAGAGAAAAATGAAAACAATAATTATCTGCTTGCTTCTCCTGTGTTTTGCTGCTTTGGAAGGTGTTTGGACATTGTTTAACAACTGGTCAGAGTTTGATTGGTTTCGTGTGAATTATTTTAACTTAATGAACAATCACAGTCAGGCTGTGTCGGACTCTTAGAAGAGAGTCACAAATTTTTCATTATTATCTTTTAGCCTTCTGTCCATATCCTTTCTCTATTCTTTAGTATAGTTTAGTATAGTATTCTTTAATATAATGTAATATAATAAAATAATAAATTAGCCTTCTAAGAACATGGAGTCAGATTCCTCTTTCCTTCCTGCCATGGGGGACCCAGAAAATAGCACAGGGAATAATGGGAATATTGGGATAACTGCTCAGCCAGGCAGCAGGGAGCTGCCCTTTCCTCCCAGGAGGGGCAGGAGCTGAGCAGGAGCTGCCCCTGTCTGCTCTGGTTTCATCTCTTCTGACAGCAGAGCTTCTTTCTCTCCTCTCTGAGACTCTGGAGCCGGGTTCCTGCTGGAATTCCCATTTCAGATCAGTGTTGGACTGACCCATCCAGCACCATTCATGAGGGAATCCCATTCCCCCTTTTTTCCTTCACATGGGGCTGATAAATCACCCTCAGGAGTCCCTGTTCTGTTCCTCTCCTCCTG